AAAACTAAAAGAGAAAAAAAAACTAGAATAAGAACAAGCAGAAAAGATAATAAGTGGAAATGTCCGTAATAAATATAATCGATGAGGGAAAGGAGGAGAGAAAAAAGATATAGTAACCGAGGCCATTTAATAAACACTGTGTATTGTAATTACTGTGCTACCATTAAAATATATAAAGGATTAAGAACCAGACGCTTTTTCGAACGCTCGCGATCATCGACGCGAATAGAAGAAAGAAAGAACAAAGTCCCTCATTTTTTGACATCCTCGTCCAGGTTTACCTTTTTCCCCCCCGTGAATCCGGTTTTTTATACTTCTAGAAGATATCTAATGATTTTGTATATAATCGATTAAACCAAGTAACTTAAATAACCTTTGTCGTCGATCGCGAGCGTTTTTGTTTCATCAAGAAATTCGTATTAAGAGTTATTCTTAAGCGGAGGAAGGCATTTAAAGAAGGAAAAAAAGAAAAAGTAATAAAAAAAAATAGATAAATAAATAATAATAATAATAATAATAATAATAATAATAATAATAATAATAATAATAATAATGATAAGTCGATTTTACTTATGTGATGATCAAAGATTAACTTGTTAAGCGTTTATACTTTAAGCCAAATGGGGGATACGATTTTGCTCGGAAGAGAAAATCAATGTCTCTTTGAAAATTCGACGAACGAGATGAACGAATCAGGGTGGGGGAAGAAAAAAGAGAAAAAAGAAAAAAAGAAAAAGAGAATAGTTCTTAAGTTCTCATGTCTCTTTTTCTCTGCCGGAGCAACATCGATCCCGCGATGACAGTAAGCAGATTTCAATGTGCGATGTATGGAATCACGCTCGTCGACATAAAATCTGAAATTTTGCGTTGAGTCAGGATGCATATATAATAAAAAAAAAAAAAAAGAGAAAAAATATAAAAAAAAAAAAAAAAAAAAAAACAAAAGAAAAATAAAAAAAAAAAAAGAAAAAAGTCACTTAAGAAAATCGTTGTACATCGAGACGTATCGTTGTACTTTTTCTCTCTCTCTCTCCCCTCTCTCTCTCTCTCTCGTAAACATTTTTTAAATGCGACTACTGGTGATATAATACATTGTTCTCAATTAACTTTTAAACAAACTATACGTATTACGTAAAACTCCAATGATCGACTGCCAAAAAAAAAAAGAAAAAAAAGAAAGGAAAGAAAAAAAAAAAAATAAAGAAGATAACTCGTTCGAATGGTTTTTTTTTCTGTAAGAGCGAATGCGAGCCATTGTAAACGATGTCTACTTAATTAAGGATAATTGTTATTAACGAAGATGACGAAGATGAAGAGAAAAACGAGGACGAGGACGAAAGAAGGATGGAAGGAAAGGAAATGAAAAGGAAGAGAAGAGAAAAGGTTCTCACAATTAAACAATAATTTATAGAATACGAGGCTAATTTAAATAAGCCAACGTGCTTACGAAAAAGTGCGATTATTATAATCCATTTGGACCCGTTGCGCTCGTTTATAAACAAAATCGATCAGATAAATCTTCGATATCCTTCGATCGATGATATACAACTTGTATTCTTACGGATCAGTCCGCCATCGTCAATTGGTGGGACCGTATTCCTATTCCTTGTTGATCCGTACATTGACAGGATTATCATTATCATTATCATTATTATCATTATTATTATTATTATCATTATTATTATTAGCATTATTATTATTAGCATTATTATTATTATTATTATTATTATTATTATTATTATTATTATTATTATTATTATGATTATTATAAAGGTAAATAAGAGATAGGAAGCTTCATTTTATAACGTATTACGTATTATTAACGAAAGACGGCGAGGGCCGAATCGAAGCGGAGCTCGACGATAAGGAAGAAAAAAAGAAGAAAATTACAAAATGGAAGATTAGGGGAGGGAGAAGGGATGAACAAAATGGGAGTTTTATGTATTTGAAGAGAGATGGGGACTGGGTAAAGGGGACGAACAAATTTGTATCAAACAATGTTTAACCGTGCCGGTTAAAATTGGTAAGAGAGGAGAAAGAGAGAAAAAGGAGAAAGAATTAAAAGAATAAAAAAGAAAAAAAAAAGAACAAGAAATGGCGCGAATTAAAAAGCGAGCACTGAATATCGGCGACTACTTCGTTTCTTAAGACGTATCTTGAAAATATTTGTATGTAAATGAATGACAAAATAATAAAAAGTATACGCTGTAAACATTCCGTATATATTCTTTTTATGCGGCACAATATGACTTTTCACAGGGATTACGATTGAAATCGTACTGCTGCGAGCTTTTTCTTAGAGATTCTTCTTAAGAATCCTCGGGATATCCGTAAATTACATTTTGAGAACCACTGAGGTTAGAGATTTATGACCTTTCAGGTCGACTCAAGTGGGACATACTTCGTGTTCCCTTGGAGTTCACCGTTTACATTATCTTCCGTGTCTATATTCTTGCAGTTTCATACTCGAAAAAAAATATTATAATAGATTAACGCTATCTCACTTTTTAGATTTATTCCTTTTTTTTTTCGTTTTAATTTAACAGATCTTAATTACGCGCGTGTATAATAATAACAATAATAATAATAATACGAAAGGAAATCGTGCTAAATGACGGTACGCTTGAAATAGTCATGACAGCGTTATCGATTATGACATCATTTTCTTACTCGTTATCACGTTTCAAACATGAATGTTATTTATGCTATACCACGAACAACGCGTATACGATCTACATATAATTATTTGTTAAACCTTTTCTTTTAACTATTTATATAGACTGTGTTTATTGTTCGATGCATTTTAAAGAATGTTTCTTTTCCTTTCTCTTTATCCTTTTTTTTTTTTATATTTTTTTTTACATACATTAAATGTAAAATCACTCGAAGAAAAGTAAGCGAAAAAGATAAGAGAATAGAGGGTAGAACTTCTACTACAATTTCAATTTTTAAAACGATCTATCCAATTCCTTCTCGGGATCATCGACTTCGTCGATGCGAGTATTCATCATCGATGGCGTCACCATTCCTTTCTTCACTCAGAGATCACACGATGATATAAGAAGAACGAGGCTATGACACAATATTCGTCGTCCTTCTTCTCCTCCTCTTCCTCCTCCTCATCCTCCTTTCTGCTTTTCGTACAGCGCAGAATCGCGTGACGTCGCAATCTTTACGAACAGAATTCATGCGTGGGAAAGGGAGAGAGAGAGAGAGAGAGAGAGAGAGAGAGAGAGAGGTAGAAAGACATAAACGCACACATTTGCACGTTTACTCGAGCAGGATCGTGGTACGTTAAGGTCGAATGACGTCATCGTTTCTCATAGACCGGGTCTGCGATCGAAAAGAAAAAGAGCAATGTTGTTTAATCGACCGATTAGAAGAGCGATTTATTCTGCAACTTTTTCTTTTTTTCTTTTCTTTTTGTTTAGTAAGCACAATGATATCATATTAAAAACGAAAATAACGCGAACGTCGTTCGAGTTCGTACGATATATGTTAAGCTCTATTCGTGACTTCTTAATCGATCGTTCATGTTCTACATTTTGTAGAAAAACGTTATCGTCGTTACGCATGCCCTCTCCTCCTCTCTCTCTCTCTCTCTCTCTCTCTCTCTCTTTTCTCTTGTATTTTTTTATTTTTTTTTTTTTTTTTGTTTTATTTTTATTGCCACGTGCCGAGCCCTTCCATCAATAGACTGTTGTGCAAATAGACAACGTCCGGTATAACTAAGCGATATAATAAAATCGAAGATTAGTTTAGTCCGTAGCTAATGGCCGCAAGAAAAACATTTCAATCATTTTTTATTGAAGAAATATTCATAGGAAAAATATAGATGGGGAATTGAAAGGAGGAGGAGGAAGGAAAAGTCTAGGGATATGAGAGAATTCGAAAGAATCAAGATCGTTGTTAAGAAATGAAAGAGAGGAGGTGGGGTGGATTTGCGAATGAGTGCGCATTGGATCGATATCATCGGGGCTTGCGGGCCACGCGTTTTCCCGAGGGTTGTTTTAGACGACACTGGCGCCGCTAGTCGCGACGGCACATCGAGCTTCTCCTTTCTTCTTTCGTCGAATCATTTCTTTCCCTCGAAAACATTTGTTTTTCTTCTCGTATGGCGAGACGAAAGGGAGTCATGGAAGTTGTACGTAAAAATAAATTTGCTCGAAAAATGATGATGAACGAGTAAAAACGAAGAAAGTAAATGGTGATGGACACGTTTATCATTAATCACGAGTTTTGTAAAGTAATCAAATTGGTATTGTTGAGATAATTTCCCTAAGGAGAACCGCTTTCGAAATCCTCCCTCGTTTTACGACTTTTCTTCCCTTGTGCGAAAAAACGAGCACCGACATGCTGGCGCCTAAGACGTCGCAGTAAAATCCTTCCACGTAATATAGAACGTTATTATGATAGATCCTTTCTCTAATAATAAAAATGTGATAACATATATATGTATATATATATATATATATATATATATATATATATATATATATATATATATATATATATATAGAAAACAAAAGAATAGGGTGAAAAGCGAACGCAGAATAAAAATTTTTCTCACCGATTGAAAAATTATAATTGATCGTTTATCTTTTTCGACGAGCGAATTAAAAAGAGTGGTTCTTTTCTTATATAGGCTAAAGTGAACAGAACAATAGGACAGAGATCAAAGAATAGGAAGAGAAAAGATTAAACTCGTGATCTCGCAAGGCGTTACAGGACCTTCTCCTGTTTCCTGAGGTCCTCAGATTACATGCCAAAAGTCCTTGTCGGTGGTATCGGTCGAAGGAGGGTATAGGGGATGGGAGATTTGGTTTGATCGAAAGAGTCTCGGACATAGGGACGGGGAGATAAGGAAAACCATCAGCAAGAACCAACGCGGCAGTCACAGCAACGAAGAAAAGGAGGGAGAGCTGTTTGGTGCAGGCGCTGCCGGCGCGGCATTCAAGCCGCAGTGGGGTGGGGTAACTTAGAAGAGTGGTGGGGGTTGTAGGTTCCCCTACGATGGCGTGGCGACCCATTCGTTCGTTCCATACGCTTTAATCGAAAGTCAGATCGCCGCGGACTGCCGCGTCGTCACGCGGACACTCGTCGTCTTTCCCATCTCTTTTTTTCACTATTTTCGCCGCATAACATTACAAAGGTAATTTTCCTTAGTTCCTTATCTTTTTTTTTCTTTCTCTAAACCTTCCTTCTAGTGCGCATTTTTATTCGTGAAAAAGTATATATATATATACGTATATATATATATATCTTACACGTATTTCGTGTCGAAGATTAGAAAGTGTGTCACGATTTTTGTCGAAGCAACGTCTTACCTTTCTCCTTTTCACTTTGTTTTTAGGTTTTAAGAAATGTATAAAAACGAGTGTTAAATAAGAGTGAAAAAATCGAAATGTATACTCGTGCGAAGTAACAGTGTAAACAGAAAAGAGAGAGAGAGAGAGAGAGGATTGTTGGTGTGTTACACAAAGAGACTATTTACCCGTGTAGGAGGACGGTTCACTGGCCGTACAAAGTACTGGTAATGTTGATAGTTCTTAGGTACACATATAAGAGCAAGCATAGTGGTATGTATCGTTGATTTATTTAATAATTAAATATCGTTAGTATACAATAGTATTAAAAGGATCATAGTAAAGGGAACATTTATTGGGCACGTGACAAGAACTAGTGTCTTGCGAACGAGATATCATATCCTTTCGATGAGATCAACGTTCGAGATTTCTCTTGAAAACAAAATAGGCCTAGATTAGCCACCTTGGAACTGTGTGGCGCCAAATGACGAGGATCACTGATATCAACCGTTTCTACGCAAACGAAGTACGTTCTTTAATATACGCGTTCGACACGCGCGAATACATTTTGCAATTACGTTCGATAATAAGAACATTATTCATAAAGTATTGCGATCGATTTAAGAGAACATTTTGAAATGTTATAAAATGACATTAAATATAACAAGATTTTCTTATCAATGTTTACGTGTTTTGTCATTGCCAAGGATGTCTATTGTTACCGCACTCTTTCGGAAGAAAGAAAAATCGATCAACATGTTTTAAACAAGTTAAACAAACTTATCGTTTCTAATCGTGAAAGATTCCAAAAGAATTGACACGTATGTATTATTTCGATATGTTCGATCAAGCGAGATAAGGATTACACGAAGTGACATCGATGAGACTCTTTGATGCAACTTGAGAGGATCGATTTTACGATCGCACACTTCCCCCCTGAGACATAAATTCTTAGCCGTCCTACTATCGAACCACGTAGCGTGTTCTCCAAAATTGATATAAAAAAGAAAAAGAAAAATAATAATAATCGATCCCATGCCGACGATTTTCCTGACTATTACATTATTCTATACACCGTTACGATAGAATCTAGAATAGTGGAGAAAATTAGTTTGAACTTGGAAACAAATCTTCTCGTGAAAATATTACGCGTGACAAGCGCTCGTTTTTAATCGTTCATAATTCGACGATTCGATCGATGTCAATCGATAATTTCGAAGAAATCGTCGAAACATTTTTCGAACTCTTATTGAATTACGCTTTAAGCATTAATCGGGATTAACTTTCTTCGTCGATCCGTTTATTTATTATTCTCTACCTAATGTGACTTTATAATTAACATTGTATATAAATAAATCTCTATATAAAATAAATAAAAAAAAAAGAAAGAAAAAAGGCGCGTTTAAGTTTTTCTTAAAATTCATTCGGTAGAGTAACATTTAAATGTATTTAATGAGATTTAAAAGAGAGATTAAACGTAAAATAAATGGCGCACCGACACACGTTCGCGTGGTCCGGATACGGGCAATTTGCAATTCGATCGAGTGTTCTCTTGCTATCTCTCTATCGTCGGCGACGAAAGTCTCGTATTGCCGGATACATTGGATCGACACGGTAGGTCGCTGCTCCGGATGATGTCAACGATGATTGATACGCTTTTGAAAAGCAATGCGACTCCAAAGAGAACATTATATACACTTTATGCGTATTTATTTCAATATTTTTCCTTTCGTTTTCTCGACAAAAATTAATAATCTTTGTATCCTTTCAACTTTCTTTCCTCTCCCCCTTCCCCCAAAATTTGTCTTTCTCCCATTAACTGTTTCGTTTTTCTTTCTTTTTCTTTCTTTTCCTTTTTATTCCAGTTATTTTCCATCACATGCGTAATACACATATATATACACGAATGCAAATGACTCGACCAATGAAATAATAATAAAACTAATAATAATAAATGCAAATAACGATGGTAGCTTCTTTTGTTACGAGCGACTATTAAAATTTATATATCGTGGGTCAAAGATTGGTGTCGATTGACATTTATCGTTTGTTAATGTGAATCGACAAAGAGACGATGATCCGGTCAAAGGTTTTACGATGAGATTCACTACAGTTTAGTAGGTGAACATAGAAAATTTTGATAAGAAGAAAATAAATATTTCTTTTTATATATACATATACATATGCGTATGTATGTGTGTGCGCGCATGCGTAACAGATATTTTCAAACTTGACCCAATTTATATAAAATTATCTTCGGACATATACGACCCTACTCGAGCCTTGAATTGTCCTCATCGAATCATATTCATAATTAAACGACCCACGTGAAATTTATCAGAGAGAGAGAGAGAGAGAGAGAGAGAGAGAGAGAGAGAGAGAGAGAGAGAGAGAGAGAGAAACAAAAAAAAGAAAGAGTGGAGATAATTACGGTGACTTATCACGTCAAAACGATTCGGACACGCATGGTGAAATCATGGAGCGAAATTAAATAAGAGGGAATAAAGGGGGAAAAGAGGGAGGGAAATCTCTCCGTACAAGAGACATGTGCCGACCTTGAAGGATTTTATACGTTCGAGAGTCATTCTACAAAAACATATATTTAATTATTCGTTTTTCTTTCTTCTTCTTTTATATATATATATATATATAAGCGTAAACAATAAGACGAGAAACGTTTCGAACAAATCGATTTCGTACCAATGGTTTACCTTTTTTTTTTCCTCAAGATATGAGTCATTGATATAATTCGTGTCATTGCATAAAAGATTATAAACGAGTGCTAGATGTATCGACGAAGAAACGTATTTATTGTCAATGGTATTGACACCATCTCGTTAATCGCATTGTGTTTGTTGACAATACTTCTGTTTGTTCCGCGCCCCCTCTCCTATCCCCTTCGCGTCGATCATTAATTATCGTTTTATTCGCCGTCCACGAGACGTCGCGTGCAGAACGCATAATGTTCTTAATGAAACGAGTATTACGAATCTCTCCTGCTATCGTTAAAGACTGTTTTCGTTTTTTTTTTTTTATTTTCTTCTTCTCTCGAATCGTTTCGATCGTTCTAATAAAATATGAATTAAAATTCAAGGAGTCACATCAGGATGACCTTTCGAAATATGCCTTTCGCCTGACACCTGACATTTCGTCGTTGAGATCATTTTGTGTTATCCGATGTGAGTAATTGAGAAACCTTAAAAAAAAAAGAAAAAAGAAAAAAAAAGAAAAGAAATATAATCGAAGCGATAGCGATCGTGCGAACTAAAACCATTGGCATTGGCACCGATGCGTCAGTAACAGGAACGATTCACGGTCTAGTTTGTTCTTTCGTTTGAGTACGTCTTATCGTACGCTTCTACCATTATGGTTTATTAGTAACGAAATATAACACATAGGCCTATATGCACGCCCATAAATTATAGGCGTTCAAAGAGGAAAAGATGATATCCTCCGGTGATATCAGTGTTAATCATAGCAATCGTATTTGGCAATCGATAAGCTAACTTATCGATTTGTCGATATAAAGATAACGCTTCGATGAAAAACCGATGAATATTTGGAAATGTTTATACGTCGCATAACTGACCTTATCCACGTATACATTATCGCCTCGTAGAGAAAATGTTGGTGGAGTAATGGTAGCAGTAGTGATGGTAGTAGCAGTAACACCCATCGTATTCATCCGACATTGACGGACATCGTGTTCTTTTACATAACATGGAACGACTTAAGCCTTCATAACGGTTCTTTCGTTTCTTTTTTTCAGAAAACTCGACGATAGGTAAAAGAGAACACAAAAAGGAACGACACTGTGAAAGAACCTTCCTAACATCTTTCAATCGCTATTCGAACTTTCATCGTCGTGGAATAATAAATTCATCATATAAAAGTAATGGAAATTCGATAGACGAAATAAAATAAAATAAAATAAAACGAAATAGAAAATCTTTTGAACGCAAACGTCGAATATCGGTTATATTAATTATTGATCGAGAAAGAAGAAAAAAAAGAAAGAAGGAAAGAAACGAAAAGAAAAGAAAGAGAAAGAGAAAGAATAGAAAAGATAAAGAAGAGAAAAGAAAAGGAAGAGACGAGCGAAAGATACCGAAAGAGGTGTGTGTCAGGGTTGCGTCGGTTCCCTCGATGACAGTTCAGAAGAAGTTGGAAAAGCACGAAAATCGGAAGTAGGAGTAAGACTGAAGAGGAAGCTCAAGGCGGAGACGAGAAGACGGATTGGTGCAAACTCTTAGCCGAGTAGCGCGCGTATCAACGGTATAGTCCGGGGGCATATACCCAGGGTATATGCGTGGTGTATTAATAGACATCGGTAGCTCGTTGGTGGGGGGGACGACGCTTGCTCGAGGGTGAAAATAGAAAAGAATGTTTTTGGAATCCAATTGGACTTGGTTGGCAGAACGATGGGTCAATATGGCCGACTTGGCCGAGCGGGTGGACGATCTGATATGCAGTTTCGACTCGACTGGTGACACGACCATGGATACATTGTCGATGCTGATATTCGGTTGGATGTTATTCGGTCTCGTGGTATTGTGCGTCGGCAAGTACGTTTACAATCGTTTTGTCCTAAACGAGCTCGGTACCTCTCGCACCGCGAAGGACGGCCATGTCTTTCACGGTGATAGTGTTGTGGTGACGAGTGCTGCTGTAGGTGCTGCTGGTGCCGCCACCGGGGCCAAGTTCCTCGGTCATCAGGAAAGATCAAGCAAATTATCGGCATCTTCGGTCGGTGTTGCATCGAGCTCGAAAACATCGACTTCGACCGGTCCGATCGGAGTAAGTGGTGCCGTATTAGCTGCCGCTAATACAGCCGCATCTTTTGGGGGAGGTAGCAGCGGCGCTTCTTCGACTATTGCCGTGGCACCCGTTCCACCCTCCTCATCTCCCTCCTCCCCTGGCTACGTCCCACCAACTCCGCCGGTCCGGAAACGACTGACAAGGAAGACTTCCGGTGCTCTTATCACTCCTGCCAGAAGTTCGAGGGCCCTTCATTTGCCTACGGCGACCGGTGCCGACGCCGAAGCCGTTCGTTGGGTCAACGAACTGATCGTCTGGCTGCACTCGGATCTTGTCATCCTCAACGAACTTCTCGCCCTTTGGGTGGCTTCTTTGAACGACTTTACCGCCGGTTCCGTCGACGAGGTCAGTCCTATTCTCTCTCTCTCTCTCTCTCTCTCTCTCATCTTTCTCGAGCCTCCTCGCAGGCGTTATTTTTTATTCGCGGAAGACTCGCCTCCGTGACCGAGCTCTTAACGTGTCAGATGGCGCTGGGGAATCCAAGAATAGCGACTCCAACCTGTTGGATGACTTCGTTTCTATAGAGTCTTATCTATAAAGACTCACGTTTATCTTATTAACGGGAGATATATTTTTCTTATCGGGCCGATCAAAATCATTTCTATTTTTATTTTCATTTTCGATATAATCGAAAATATTTTTTTATTCCGTAGAAACAAGAAAAGGAAAAAGAAAAGATGAAAAAGGAAGGAGTAAACGACGATTGGAATTTGCGGCGTCAGATTAATGTATCGCGCGGATTCTTGCATGCGTAGGCTTTTATTAGATAAAACCGAGATGATGAATCTCTAAGATGAAACAGCTCGACTTTACGAGTACTCAATTCGAGCTGGTCGGCGAAAGTAATTCGATTCGAGTGAAAGGCGTTTAATTCGAACAACGTGTTCTTGATCGAATTTTATCCGATTGAATTATCTCGTTGACGTGGCAAACTTGACCTCTCGCATGTTTGAAGAGCTCTCAATGGAATCCAAAGCGTCTCGATCCGCTCGCGAAAGAATGCGTTTCTTTGTTCCTTTAACAACGTATCCCCTCTTTCTGCCCCTTCTTCCTCGCCCTTACGAAACGTTATCTAACGCACCTAACATGCTAAATTCGTTTTTGGAATCGCGGGCGTGTTTCCAATTCCTCGTACATTCTCTCTCACGTCTCTGATTCACCTGATGATTTATCGTACAGCCGAAAGATTCGGTCACGCGACTCAACGGGAAACGTCGCTCACTTTCGTCTGCCTCATAAGATTTCAAATGGGTATTAGCTTTAGCATTAAGCGAACATTTGGTAACTCTTCTAATGGAAAAATATTTATAGTACTCACGATGTGTGTATATATATATATATATGCAATACGTATACGCTTAATTATCGACGTTCATAACGATTACGCGAACGTTCAGCCTCGGAAAAAACGGAAATGAGATATAAAGTGGTATTTCTTCGTTCTATCAATTTCAAATTCTGTTATGCTTTAATATGCCAGCCAGTCAACCTAGCCAAAAGTATTTACGTTGAAAAGGAGAGCCGTAATTTATAGGCTGTAAAATGTTTTCACGTAATATCGTCAGTCCGAGGGAGTCCATTTCTTGCCAAAATTCTACAATAATGTTATTATCTAATCGTACATTTGTAGACACGTCAGGAATTTCTGTTGATACGTGTTATGCGTTATAAACATACATACATATATATATATATATGTATATATATATATATATATATATATATATATATATATATGTATATATTTATATTATAGATACGTTGTGGGAAATTTTTGAGAATATCTTCTCGAAGGAATCATTGATATCGTCTAATGTTACAGCATGGAGTGGGCGTCGAATTTGTGCGTGTTCTTCCGGAAACACATCCTCCAACTCTGTCAAATATTTTCTGCGAATGCGACTCTAAAGACGATGTGGTAGGTAATCGTATTTGACAATAATTTTTCTTTTCTTTTTTTTTTTTTTATATATATCGAAGAAAAAAAAATACTGAGACACCCTGTATACGATATAATGCCTCCATTCATACCGCTTTCGAAGACGTCTTTTTACTCTTCTTATTTTTTTTTTTTCTTTTTTTTTGTCGCTCTCGTTCTCACATAATACATACGTTTCTTCATTCCGTAGACCATAACGTGCGACTGCGAGGCAACTCCGGCTCTGCAGTTAAAAGCGTTTCGCCAAAGAGGCGACAAGTTGGAATCTAGTCACTATCGTGTCAACGTGAATCGCTTCCGTGCTCGGCTCAACGTCGTTTGCATCACCGAGAAACTTCTAATCGATCTAAAGTGCGACGGATGGCCCGAGGTTTGTTTTTAATTAATCCATATAATAATCTTCTTAGATTTTCTGAATACCTTATAAAAATATATCTCGAACAAAATAAAAAAAAAACGCAAAAGAAAAAGAAAACGCACATTTTTCGCATATTTTCGTATCTATTAAAATAATTAACATATTTCTCTTATAAATGAGAATAGTTCAGCGCGAAAGAAAGAAAGAAAGAAAGAAAGAAAATTGTTTTCCGTAAATAAAGATCTATAATGAATTGCAAAAGGAATAGAAATTTTTATTCGCATAGGACAAATATATTGTAAATTACATGTATTTCTACGATAAGGTCTGAGACGAAATGATATTAAACATAAATATTCTTATCCCTTAAACGTACTGTATTAGTTTATTTTATGAAAATAATGTGTCTTTACGTGCGTTTAAATTATATTAAAAATGATAAGCTGTTAAAGATATTGTTTAAACGATTTAGTTAAGATGATAAAAAAAGTAATTTCGAAGATAGCACGAAAGAAAGTAAAAATTGTTTTGATGTTTCGTACCAGGTAAAGATATCCCTGGCACAGGTAGGAACGATAAAGAAGGATTTGGATGAGAGCCAATTACAGGAAGTAGTGACGGAAATTGTGGTTGGTGCTTTGAGAGGTATCAACGTTCATCTTAATCTATCGCAATATCCAACTTGTCCGCGATTATGGAGAGAACCACCTACGCAGCCTGGCTTCTCCTTTCCGGTACATTACGACAGTATGGTAAGTAACGCTTTAGCTCGATTAAATCAATTTATACTCGGCTAATTTTATAATAATATATTTATGTACTTTATCGTAAATACCAGCTAGGAGAAGACACGTGTCTATTTATCTATTTATCGATGCATTATGTGCTGTCGGTGAGAACGCGCAGAAAATATCGCGTGCACTTTTACTTTCCTAATCATGAAACCTACTTTACTACGGAGTGGTACCATCGATAAAGCGTGCGTTTATCGATCCCAAAGAGAGAAGTGGGCTTTGCATGCGATTATCAAAGTAATTACAGCAGTATCTGCTTTTATCTGATCAAATTCGAAAAAAAGCTAATACGGAGAGAAGATTTTTATCTTCAATTAATTGATTTAAATTAAATATAATATAATTATATTTTAATCTTTTATCATTTTATTCGTTGACGCTTCGTTTGTAGAGCGGTTCGAACTCGATGATACACAAGACATCGCCTCAACATCTTCATACACGTAATGCAACTTCTGCGGCGCAGCTGCAACAACAACAGCAACAACAACAGCAACAATATATGCCTGGTGAAAAGCGTTTGCTCGTAAAGGTTGTAAAGGCAACTGAACTTGGTGGGCAACATCCATCGGTTGAACCATATTGCGTTGTTGAATTAGACGAACCACCGCAAAAGCATCAAACATCGATCAAAAAGGATACGACCAATCCGATATGGGACGAAGCTTTCTTATTGTAAGTTAGATTTTCTTTCTATCTGTCAAAATAAAATACTATATATATATATATATATATATATATATATAGAGAGAGAGAGAGAGAGAGAGAGAGGATCATATAAACAAGAATTTTATTACTAGCGATGTCAGTCACAACACGACAGAGGTACTACTGGAAGTTTACGACCGCGTAAATAAGAGCCAAAAATTCTTGGGTCTCGGAATAGTAGGGGTCGAAGAACTTCTGGCAAATCCTAGCCAAAGACAAATCATACCGTTACAAGGTAGACCTTACGAGGAGGACGATGTAACCGGCACCCTCACCGTAGAGGTAATCGATTTCTCGAGTTTGATCTCCTACATACGTCTATTTGACCGACAACTTATGATTTATGAATTATAATCTCGTTTTCATTTCACATACACGCTCGCTTCTTTACTAAAGCAAAAACAAAAACGAGAACTTATCACAGATTCTTTCTTTATAATATTGGAAAAGGAAAACATGCAAGATATATTTAGTTATAATGATCGTTTTATTTATGCAGTTTCTCTTCATCGAGGGTGCAGAAGTGCCACAGATCGGATCGAAGCCTTACAAAGTGAAGGAGACAATAAAACCGGTGTCCCCGACTCGTACCTACAATCCAGCGACCAATCTCGTCAGCAGCAATAGTCTTAATTACAACAATGGTAACAGCACTCTTATCTTGTACGACAATACCACTCTGTCAGACGGGGGTAATTATCGATTGCTTGTCTCAAAGGTATTGCATACTTTGATGTGTGAATCCTTTAGTGGTTTTTCAATTAGTCTGAACCAACCTCTCCGTCTCCTGTATCTCTTTCATTCTTTATTAAATGATGAAAAAAAGAAGAAAAGAACAAAAAAATTCAACAAAATTTTATCCGTATACTCTATGTATTTGCAAATCTCTTTGATTTTATCTCAAATTTTGATTCATCGAGTTTTCCCGAAAAGATGATAATCGTTAGTCTTTCAATCGTTATGACGATTCCATTCGGATTTCATTTCGATTAAAATTGTCTCACGTTTACGTTCCAACATCGTATATTTAAAGATTTTTATTTCTTTAGCCTCCTTATATATACATATATATATATATATATATATATATATATATATATATCGGAGATATCGAATATTTTATTTTAAAAATAGTCCTTTATTTCCAATCCCTTGCAACCCACAAACACACAGTAGCTGGCATGAAGATTTTTAGATTTTTTTCCCCGTTTGGCGAGATCCGGTTCCAATCATAATTTAGATCTACTCTCATAATCGATTCCCTGAAGTAGAATAAGTCCCAATTACAAGTTTTTACATATTTCATTTAGTAAGAATAATTAGAGGAAATTTTCAATACTTCGCAAAGGAGGCAGAACTGATTAGTTTTTTTTTTTTTTTTTTTTCATTTTCAATGATAGACGAAGCGAAGGAAATGTTTTAGAATATCGAAATGCTTGGGTATCACGTGAATATTTATATATTCTCTGTAATGGAAACATTTTGAAACATGCAACACCGATGGTTAAAAATCTATTTTATGATATCGATAGTATACGATTGCATAGATAAAAAGAGGACATTTCTACCTTTAAAATGGTATTTGTTTCATCTCTCTACGACTTTCCGTTCCGAAGATATAATCGTTTAAAATTTGTCATTCATAATGTCAATGATCAGCTGGCGCGACTACGCATCGTAGTAAGTAGAAAAAAGTGTTTACGTCGGTCAGACGGCTAGCGTAAATTCCAGGAATTTATGTAGGTCACTGTGTTAATTCATTATATAGGTCAATATGGCGGCTCGAATGTAGGTCAGTGGGACATTCCACTTGACCTATATATTCGGTTATATCTAAAATATGGAATATCTCCGAAACTAGAAATCATAGAGACTTCGAATCAACGCCATTTTAAAGAGTATTTTTTTCTCTATAATATCGTCATATTATAAACAATTAATTAATAATTCGTTATAAACAATTTGTTATACAAAATTCGCCGAATTTTTTTTTTCACTAAATCAACGCTTTATATATATAAATATATATATGTATGTATGTATAATACAGGCATGCATATATAATTTGTTATAAACAATTTGTTATAAACAATTTCTTAGAAGAATTTTTTTAGAACTTAACATGACGTAATCTGTTTTATGCGTATCCGTTATCGCACATATAATGCGTATATAATTCAATAATTTGTTATAAACAATCTGTTATAAAAAAAATGGTCATAAACGATTTTTCGGAATTTAATCAGTGAAGTAATTCGGTATATCTACGAATACGTGAATATGATTCAATAATTTCTTATAAACAATTTGTTATATAATTAAAAAAAAAATTGTTATAAATAATTTTCACAAATAATTTCTTAAAAATCAACGTTACATTCTTCTTCTTATCTTTTAGGAAAAAAAAATATGTTTCTGCGTTATAAAAAATTGTTACGAACAAAAAATTATAAGCAATTTGTTATAAATAATTTTTATAAAAAAATTCCTTCGAAATCATTTTGTCATTCTTGTCTTTCGTATCTTTGGGAGGGGGAAAAAAAGCATTTCTGCGTCGGGAATATTTATACGCATTTACATCTTTATAATTATTAATGATCCATCGGTGTATACAAATGAATAAAACATTTCTATCTATATTTATGAACTTCATGGATAAATCGTATTTACGCGAACTACGCGATTAGTATAAATAGATGATGCTTTTTAGGAATCGATGAAACGTAGATCCATTCAATATGAATCAATGAGTCTTCGATCATTGTACAAAAGTGACATTTTCTTCGCAGATCCTTATTTGACGAATGGTAATGTCGTCGATTCGCCATATAGAAGCGGTCAAACGAACGGTAACAAAGGGACTCTGATCGTGCACAGCCAGCAAAGGGTAAGAAGTTAATAAGTTAATGCATTGATTTGATTATTAATCGCACTGCACGTAGAAATTGGTGAGACTACTAAACTAATAATTTATAAATTTTTTCTTTTTTTTTTTTTTTTCTTCTTCTTTCTGATATCCGTGCACGGATTAATCGAATTAATTATTCTAAATTTATTTTTATATGGGTCACGAATTTTTTCATGCCGTATAAAAATAAATCCGAATGTATAGGCGTGTATTGATAATAACAACAGATCTGACGATCCTTTGCTCTGATTATTTTACAGCAAGGAGAGCGACAAGTAGTAAAGGTGAGCCCGACGACGATCTCCTGACGAGAGAGATTTTTTTTCCTTCCTTAATTTTTTTCTTCAAACTCGTAAACGCAATTTGCATTTATATTCTATAATCAGCAGTTTTCCATCTTGCGCGAACACGCGATCCGAACTGCATACGAATATGAGTGTTTATTCTTTTCTTTCTTTTTTTTTTTTTTCTCTTTTTATTTAGTTTTTTTTTTTATTTTTTTGTTTTCGTTTTTCTTGATTCAATGTTTAAGACCATCCATTCTCTCGTTCTATTTTCTCTTCGATTAACTGACGTTTACCTTGAGTTTGAGTGCCTTTTCTGTTTCATAAGAGCATTAACTATTCTTGAATGCCGTGTGTTTACTAATCCAACAGGTAGCTTTGACGGAAAATGGAAATTGGCAAGAAATTTCCCCCGAGGTAAGTGTACTATCGATTTATCATACTTTTATTTACTCATCCTTTTCTTTCTTAGATAATAAAATATCACTTTGATTAAATAAATCCCTTAGGCTCAATGTCTAATCTGATACGATTGATTTCAGCACGGTGCAAAGGATACCAGCATGACGTCAGGACCGGAGAGTACGCCAAATTCCTCTAATTCAGAAGGTAAAGCGTGAGACGTAAAAAAATTTTAATGTAGATTAGAATTTTGGAAATAATTTTGATTAGAAATACACGATAACAAGTGTAACGTATTATATTTTAGAAAGAGGAAGAACACGAAGAAAACGAAGAGATTTCTTTGGCACGATAAAAAAGCGTTTGAGCCGATCAAAAACGAGAAGTAGATCGGTGGGACCCGAAGGTGACATTAATCACGAGGATGCACATTCGAGGTCAATATCCGCTGACAGAGCACGAGATCCTGGATCAGGTAAGTTTTTAATTAATTTTATTTTTTAGTTAGATAATTGGATTTCATACCATTCGATATAATGAAACTCAAATGTAGAATAGACGTTTATGACCCTTTTCTTATATCATTGGAAATTCATTGCTTTTTAATAGTTCATCTATATCGATGTTTATTGTTTAATTCAATAATGATCACTTTCAATTCCCAAATATAAAGTTTCTTCATTCCCTTTCTATTTTAACTCACACTTTCACGCTCTGTCCTGCTTGCGTAACCGTTGTGTTAATTGGCACTCAATGTTGGTAAGTCTCTCTCCTCCACTATGTAGACATCTCCATATAGAGATACTTTGTAATTAGCCATCTTAGATCGGTCCCGAATTTTTACGATAACTGTGAAATATATAATATCCGTTAAAATGTATTGTCTTCTTTAGCTACCCCCACCACTCCCACCCTAACGTGTAGCTTCCATTTCACCCCTATCCAGCAACGAATCTCATTTTTACAGCACATTTGTCGATACCAGGAAGGGAAGAACATTCAAGGAGATCAAGTTTAAGCGAAGCGTCCGGCATTAGCGGGACTTCTACGAGAACTTACGTCAACGAGGCCTCTACTCTCGTTTTAGAAACTTTAGAGAATGGTATTAAAAAGTGAGTACTATAGACGTAATACATATCATTTCATAGTGATGTATATATAGATATGCAATTTTATAATATACGTTTTAATGTTTAGACATTATTTGGTACCACTTTCGCTCGCACAAAAGAGCAAGTGGAGGAAAAAGGGTACGAAACTTCATATATTCAACGATCACACGTTCATCGCCAAACACATGCCAGGGTAAGTTTTGAATGGAATGTTATTTATTTATGGGATAAATGAAATTTATTTTTATTTATCATGATATTTGCCCTTATAGAGGTACAGTCTGCGAAATCTGTAAACGAACGCTTGCTCGAAGATTAGGTAAACAAGGATACGAGTGTAGGGACTGTCAAATGAAATGCCACAAACATTGTCACGTTAAAGTAGACACAACGTGTCCTACGTCCACTATACAGAGCATCGAATTGTAAGTATAAATCGATTCGATTGGGAAATACTTTTTTTTTTGTTATTTTATTTTAAACATCAAACGAATCTACCTACATTGCATGAGAATATTTACTATCACCGTAAAATCGCTTTAATATATGTGTATGTGTATATATATATATGTATGTATTTATGTATGTATGTACGTATGTATGTATGTATGTATGTATGTATGTATGTATGTATGTATGTATGTGCATCTATATATATATATATACATCGTGTCGGATTTATAAATGATTTAAAAGTTAAATGATATATCTCCTAATGCTCTGATTTCTTTTGACCTTTCTTCGTGTAAGGTCCCTACTGCCGGTACTGAGCGAATAATAAGATAGGTAAGCCAAAGAAAAGAGAATGAAGATCTTTTTCAACGAGTGTGTTTTAATTTAATCGTGCATGCGACGAGAAAAAGTTTATCGAAAAATCTATATTTTCTCTTTCCATTTTAATGTTGGTAGTTACCTTTTATTATTTTTTTTTCGACCGTAAATATTATAGTTCTACCCGAATTTAGCTCTCGGATTCCATAGATTTTAACATGTTTATTTTCATCGATTGTTATAAGACAATTTCTGCATGCAAGTTGGTTTCAACTTTTCTTTGCAAAACGCGCGAGAATATTCGCTTGATTATTTACCTGCTCGATTCAATTTCTGAAAAGGAGATGATTGATTTGTTACTTTTTTTCTTTTCTTTTTTTTTCCTTTTTTTTTTTTTTTTAGGACCTACATAAAGGTTCCTGAGATTGAAAGGAAGTCGTCGATACGTTTATGCTGATTGGGAACCTCTACTATTTAGATCTAAGCGGTCTTTTTATTATTAACAATTACAAGACGGTAGGATAAAAAAAGAAGAAGAAGTAGAAGAAGCAGAAGAAGAAGAAGAAGAAAAAGAAGAAGGAAAAATAGAAAAATAGATAAATTCGGAAAAGAGAGAAAACAATGGAAATCAAAGAAAAATATTTTAAGCTCGTGATCGAGTTTTATGTACTTATTTATTTACTTCGAAGATTAATTAGGTAAGCACCGTCGATAAGCTAGATAATCTTTTTTTCTTTTTTTCTTTCTTTTTTGTAAAGCAACATTTTCACTCACTTTCGGTAAAAAAAAAAAATAAAGAAAGAAATATCGCTTTACTCTCACAATCTTCGGCTTTGAACGAAGTTCCGTTCGAGGAGACGACGATGACGACGAAAACGACAACGATTAAAAAAAGAATAATATATATACATATATATATATTTATATATATATATTCGCGTACATGCGAATATATGATAAAAAGATTAATCAAAATAATGGAGTCAAAGAGATAAGCGAATTTATAAAAATCGTCTTACCGCTCAACTTCTTCCACTTTAAGTTCTTATCGATAATTTAAATCCTCTTTTCTTTTGTTCATCTTTTTTTTATTGATTCTTTTTTTTTGTTCGTTTTTAAACATTGACATGTACGAATTTGTACGTAGAGAAGAAAGCAAATTCTTTTTAATTTTTTTTTTCTTTTTTATTTCTTTTTTTTTATTATTATTCTTTTTATTATTATTTTTTGCTTTTACTTTTTTTTTCTTTTTTCTTTTTTTTTTTTTTTTTTTTTTTTTTTTATCGTAAGGAAAGATGCTATCCTCCTCGTATATCGCGAGGTCGAACGATTGACTTATACATTTTTACATAAAGAATTTTTTCGGATTAACTTTGCACGATTAATGAAAAACAGCACGCATTAATACACATGAAATATATGTGTGGATTATATAAATAATATCTAGATCAAAAAGAATGATGGTTGATGATTAATCGTGTCCTTTTTTTAGGCCGATTAAAAATTACTTATCGAAATAAAGATGTCGATTCGAAGATGACGATAGAATTTAGTTGACAGTCGAATTTTTTATACATCCGAATAAAGCCAAAGACACACGCTCGTTAGTCTTATACATAGTATTTCTAGGAATAAATCCTCGAGCACGGGTAGCACAAATATTTCTCTACACCTACGCGTACACATTGGACACATACAAATACGCACATGAACACAGAATCACATGTAAGTAGATATGCCATATGGACGAATCTAAAACGTGTTTCGGGCACATTATTACCGTGTGCATAACGAGAGAAACGCTAATTAATAATCTAGCCTAATTAAGGCTGTCATAAGTATAATAATAATAATAATAATAATAATAATAATAATGTTTCTAATTATGTAAGTGAAAGATATATATATATATATATATATATATATATATATATATATATATCACATCTGGCTTTTACGTGCTCGATCGTAAGGAACGTCTAAGTTCGAAAGTAAAACGAAACTCTAATATGCATATATATATGTATGTGTGTGTGTGTGTGTGTGTGTGTGTGCGAACGCGCGCGCTCGCGTGTGTGTGTGTATCGAGGATGCGTCTAGTCTTTATCTATATGTTTCTGCCTTTTGTTATTTCTTTAGAGAATAACGAAGCCGTTTTATTCTTTGATTGTTTCAACTTCGATTCGATTAATTGTATTATACATTATCGTTTCAACACGGACAAATCTTTTTGACATTATATAAAATTAATTCGTGTAAAAGAAAATTAATGTATATACAATGACTACGCGTTCTCTTTCTCTCTTTCTCTTTCTCTTTCTCTTTCTCTCTCTCTCTATGTCTATATATATATATATATATTCTTTTTTTCTTTTCTTTTCCTTTTCATACGAAACCTTTCGAAATTTTGACATCCTTCGTTTATTATTCCAATATTGTTTCATCGTTTTGTCAATTATAATTAAAAAGAGAAAGTGAGAGAGAGAGAGAGAGAGAGAGAGAGAGAGAGAGAGAAAAGAAAATGTCTCTTGACTAGCAAAGCGCGCATGTGATATCATCGAGGATCATAAAGGAAATGCAGATGTTGGATTAACGTTGATGAATAATTGAAGGAATGAAAACGGGAAATACACGCACTTGAATGTATGCACAATATAAGCACGGGATAAAAGTAATTTGAAATTTTTAAACTTAGAGGCTGTGAATGTTGAATCCATGATGGGAAGGTTGCTAAGGTACAATATAGAAAATGATTGCCTTTATAATTATCAAGACGAAAATATAAAACGCTTTACGAGCAAACTCGTATTTCTTGGCCGGTTCAAGGGACGAGAGAAGGCAGTGGGGAAAAAAAAAAAAGAAAAAACAAAGAATAAAAAAAACCAAACCCCAGAAATATTCGCACAGAATAAGTTTAAAACGATGGAACGTAAACGATCGATGCTTTGTTTTATTTATGTAGTATCCTTGTTATCACGATAATAATCGAACGGCACGTTTTTAATCTAGATCTTCATTATCGATCGCCATGTATCGTACATGACTTATTTATGTACATACGTATAATACTTACGTACATATGTCCTATGTGTCTCTCTAATTTTGTTAGTTTTGTTCGGATGCTTCGGAAACGGCATTGTTGATAAACGAACAATCATTATGAACATTTATTAACGAATAAACGTAACGTGAGATCGAAGAAATCAGGCCGAAATTAAATAAGCGAGTCGCTTTTGAAAAAAAAAAAAGGATAAGTTCGAATAATATTATGATAGTGCCTACAATTAATATTACCATTACATATGATAATATTGTACGTTTGTCATATAGATGCTTTATTTATAAACAGTATTTCCAATCGTTCTTGCATAGCTTTTATCGTCGATCATCGGATAACCAAGTACGCAAACGCCGTGCACGAGGCGAAAGAGATGAGCGTGACGATGTCTATCATTATGCATTGCCCGTTTATAACAATAACAATTATAGTGATAATAATAATAATAATAATAATAATAATAATAATAATAATAATAATAATAACAATAATAATGATGATGATGATGATAATAACGATGACGACAATGGTGACGATGATAATAATTGTGTGTTATTATTATTATTATTATTATTATTATTATTATTATTGTTGTTGTTGTTGTTGTTGTTGTTGTTGCTGTTGTTGTTGTTGTTGTCGTTATTGTTATTATTATTATTATTATTATTATTATTATTATTATTATTATTATTACTATTCTCGCAATAATGGGATAAAGGAATATTCTGTAATGTTAAGAAAGAATAATATATGATGATCTTACATACCGTTGAAATCTTATTGGGAATTTTCTCGTAAGACGTAAGAAATATTTCTTTTGCAGGATTTAAGAGGGACAAAGTATCGTCAAGGAGATCATCGTAAGTATAAGAAATAAATATTTTACTTTTTTTCTTCTTTTTCTTTTTTTTTCTGTTTTTTTATTTTTAAACCTATAAATATTAAATGTTATCGTTAAAACTATAAATAGTCATATGAAAATATACGTTTCGCGGGATCAATAATTAAAAGGATAAATAATTTCGATACTTTCGTGGAACGAAAGAGGGAATAATCTGTGATTAATAATGGAAAAACGAACCCTTCAGAAATCTGTTAAAAATATCTCGAGAAACGACGAGAGGCAACACGTTGACCGATTTTCTCGGTGATCGATACATCAGTGCAATAACCTCTCCTCTCGGGATGCCGGAGGGTGATATCTATAGAGTGTCACGAAATGTTAAAAGTGCTTGAAAATAAAAAAAAAAAGAAAAAAAAAAGAAAAGCATTTATTTATCCATTAAAGTGTAGGATATTTTGAAATCAAAATCTTTCAGGATATTCCAATGGATCAACTTATTGTTATTGTTCGTAATATTTAATCTTATAAGTTTAGTTGGGTATTGATGACGTTACAACATCGATTTGCGACGTCATATCCAATAAACGTCGTTTGTTACGTCATAAAACGTTATAAATCAATCGTGCCTAAGAAAGGGAATAAAATTTCTTTATAACGACGTACTTACCAAAGACTCGTATTTATCGTCTTTTAAGATAAATGTAGAAAGATGACGAGAGAGCGAGAGAGAGAGAGAGAGAGAGAAGGGGAGGTTAAAAAAGGGTTCGATAAAAAAAGATATGGACGACACGTAAGGAGGACCGATGGAGTGTAGGAGAAAAGGTCACTCGGCCGATGAGTACCTTGTAGAAATCTCTTGTGTCTCTCTCTCTCTTTTTCTCTTTCTCTGTTGTCTATTTCTAGCCAGAGAAATGAGAGAGAAAGAATGAGCGGAAGAAGGAGGAAGTGAGGAGGAAGAGGAGGAAGGGTGGATTGGAGATAAAAGTGGTAAGGAGGAGTAGCGTGATCCGCGAATCACGAGTCGACGGTTGACCCAGATCGAGGTCAGAGTCCCTGTTTCCCGGAACAGTTGCGTCGCGATATGCCTGGTTCAACGTGTGGATCAAGGAGAGGGATGCTGCTGAGTATCCATGGCAACGTGACGCAATGGTTACGTCATCAAAGGGAGTGCAACGACCCTCCGTACCTATCCTTTTTGCTACCGGCAGACACACTACTCGCTCGTTCGGTGAATGGGGCCATGCGGGCCGATCTTCGATCGTCCCCATTACGGATCGATTCGAGTACCTTCCGTTTCAGTGAATCCATGACGTGTATTTCTATAGTCATTCCACTATTCATCTTTTAAATTCCTTCAATGCTCGAATCGAATAATGCCACTCGATGAAATTTAATATTTCTTTCCAATGGATAAAAGCGTTTCTTTCTTTTTTTATAGTATATATATTATAAAATAAATATACTATCTTCGTTCGTCCATAAACGAGCTTAGCTACGTTAAAACCTGTACGTATGGAAAAGCATCCATCGAGATTATTCTTTATATATCATACTTCATAGGACGTTGTTGTACTCTCGAATGCCTGTCAAAACGTATTTACATTATGCGCTACGAATAGGAACTTTGGTACTTGAACTATTTAGTGGAGAAACCATTAGAGCAGTCCGTCCAGTCTGCAGAAGACTATGAACGTTTCACCAGGATAGGATCTAAAACGATCGGACTAATTCGCTGAGTTAGATCGGAGCAGATTGGCTATCGCAAAGTAGTAAATCCGAATGATGCTCGGACCGTTTAGTTTTCTCTACTAGCAAGTTCCAGTAGTAAAATACGATTTATATCGGACATTCGATACTTATATGTCTCATTGACGAAATTATATATATATAT